ATGATAGGCACACAGTGAGAGAGAGAGAGAGAGAGGCAGAGACACAGGCAGAGGGAGAAGCAGGCTCCATGCACCGGGAGCCCGATGTGGGATTCGATCCCGGGTCTCCAGGATCGCGCCCCGGGCCAAAGGCAGGCGCCAAACCGCTGCGCCACCCAGGGATCCCCCAACCAAGGGAATTTAATGACCATTTGACATCTTTTATTCTGTCTCTGACAGCACTATAGCAGACTCTGGAGATACTGAGCATTTGTTCCTATTGTAACAGCTACCATCCTCTCTGGGAAAAATCCTCAACTAATATTGGGAAATCCACAGTGTAGCTCCTATCAAGATTCAAAACCTCTTCCTATAATCAGTGCTCTAGAAATAAAGAAGCCTGTCAGGGTATCAAGCCCATAATAGATTAAGGAAGGTCTCATTACCCACCCACCACCCCACCCCACCCCCGCCTTATTTCCCATAACACTCTTTTAACTGTGAGAAAACCCAAAAACCAACAATGGGAGTTTGTCCAGGATCTCTGAGCAATAAATACCAAATAACCACTGTTACTCCTCAGCACCCTGTTGTCCCCAGTGCCCATCTGCTACTAACATCCATTCCTGTGGTAAACAAAATTTTCACTGTAATTGATTATGCAGTACATTTTTAGTATTCCTGTTGATAAGAATAGCCAATTTTGTTTTCACTTGGAAAGAACAGAAATACACCTGGAGAGTCATGCCCCAAGGTATCACAGAGTCCCTCTTAACTTTTCACAAATCTTAAAACTTGATTTGGATTATAGAAAGTCCTCTGCAGGCTCTACTTTGTTGTACTATACAAACAATTTGCTTCTCTGCTTCCCTTTTCAAATCTCTTCACAGGAAGACAGCACCCACCTGTTAAAATTTTTGGCCTTAAAAGGACATAAAGTCCTCAAAGAAAAAATGCAATTTACTCCATCTCAGGTTAGATACTTAGGGTGTCTGATCTTGAAACAAGGACTACATTTTGATCCAGATGAAACCCCTCACAACTGCTTAATGTTGACAGGTACCTTTTGAATCCTCATGAGAACTTAACAGGAAACTCCTCTAACCGATGCAGATTTTTCATGGTTTACTGATGGTTCTTATTTAAAGAATGAAAATTGTAAATATCGTGCTGGGTATGCTACTACAACACCCTTTGAAGTCACTGAGGCAGAACTTTTACTTTTGACTACTTCAGCCCAAAAGCTGAGTCCTATGCCCTCACTTGAGCTTGTATCTCACCCAAGAGTAAAACTCCACAAACATTTATACCTATAGCTGGTATGTCTTTGAGGTAGCTTATGACTTTTGGAATATTATAGAAACAACAATGTGTCCTTACCTCCAATTGGAATAATGTTAAAAATGGTTCCTATATCCAAAATTTATTAGATGCCATACTTCTGCCAGCTACTCTGGATATTAGTAAATTTTCTGGGCATTCCAGACTCAACTCCCTGGGGGCCAAAGCAACCCACCTCACTGGTATCTCTGCCACAAATGCTGCTCTCAAGGAAACCAATAGCCAAATCTTTGTCGTGGTTCAGAGATGTTCTCCAAAATGATAAATTTTGGGAAAATTGACAGGAGATACCCAGCAATTGGCAACAAAGGGGAAGACAATATTGGAAATATAATTGTTCCCTTAATAAAAAGAGATAACTTTGGTTTGGGACACATAACAATTCAGCCATATCAGAAGTTCTAAAATTTCCACTACTTACAAATGCATACACATTACAGGTGCCTGGGTGGCTCAGTAGGTTATTTGGCCAACTCTTGATGTTGGCTCAGGTCATGATCTCGGGGTCCTGTGATTGAGCCTCATGTCTGGCTCTACATTCAGTGGGGAGTCTGCTTGAGGATTCTTTCTCCCTCTCCCTCTGCCCATTTCCCCACCTGTGGGCTAAGTCAATCAATCTTTAAAAAAAAAAAACACAAATGCATACACATTAAACCGTTGGTCTGAGAAAATGATAGCATTCATAAACCAATGTTGCTGAGGAACAGTTACTAAGTCCACAGAAGTACCTACCTCACTTGTCCCACCTGTCCAAAATATAGTCTTAGGTACCTGTCCATACTGACCCTGGGCATTTCAAATTACCCAACAGACTTCAGGTTTGGCAAATGGATTTCATACAGCTCACCCCATCTCATGGATTTAGATGTTTTAGTTATGGTTTGGGTTTTCTTATGGATCAAAGCTTTCCCTTGAAAATAGGCCAATGTCTCTTCTATGACCGTTGGAAAAGATTATCCCTAGGGGCACCTGGATGGCTCAGTCAGTTGAGTTGCAACTTTTGGTTTCAGCTCAGGTCATCTCATGAGTTGTGGGATCAAGCCCCATGTCAGGCTCCATACCCAGCAAGGAATCTGCTTGAAGATTCCCTTTCCTTCCTGCCCCCTCCAATATAAATAATTTTTAAAAAGATTTTATTTATTCATGAGAGACACAAAGAGAAAGAGAGACACAGAGACAAAGGCCGAGGGAGAAGCAGGCTCCATGCAGGGAGCCCAACATGGGACTCAATCCTGGGACCCCAGGATCATGCCCTGGGCCAAAGGCAGGTGCTAAACTGCCAAGCCACCCAGGGATCCCCATAAATAAATCTTTTTAAACAAAGATACTATCCCTATATGTGGAATCTCTCTCAAACTTCATAGTGATCAGAGAACCCATTTGAAATAGTGGTCAGGTATTTTGATGATTTTGTGCTGTTTTCCCAGTTTTTGCTTATCATCTTTAATCCTGTTAGCTAAATCCACTTAATGGCACTATTAAAACTCAATTGGCAAAACTTCTAGAGACTCTCAAATACCTTGGCCAAAAGCATGGCTGTTAATTCCTCTAAACCTCAGATCCACCCCCTAGGGAACTCACAGACTTTTAGCCTTTGAGATAGTCAAAGTACATTCAAAGCACTTGGCTCCAGCCTTCTTTGACTCACAGTTGATATTTCTATTAAAGAGAAGTATGCTGGGCAGCCCGGGTGGCTCAGAGGTTTAGCACTGCCTTCAGTCCAGGGCCTGATCCTGGAGAGCTGGGATCAAGTCCCACGTCAGGCTCCCTGCATGGAGCCTGCTTCTCCCTCTGCCTGTGTCTTTGCCTGTGTTTCTCATGAATAAATATTTTTTAAAAAGTTAACTATGCTTTGGTAGAGCAGTCTTCTCACAGTGCGCTCCCAGGTGTTGTTGGAAAAGACACCTTCAGACTCATCAGCCTCACTGGAAAGGCCCTGGTCAGGAAGTGCTAAGCAATCCTTATGCCATCAAACTCCAGGAAACAGACCCTTGGGTTTCTGTAACACATCTAAAGAAAGCACCAAAACTTTGATTGGATCGGACATCATTTGGTGACCTGAAAGTAAATTTCTTGGAATTGAAACAGACATCTGAAGACAGCTTTCCCAAGATGTGTAAAACAAACCCATATACCTTTTTCACTGTAGCTGCTTCTTTTATGGAAAGACAGTACTCTGCATTTTTCCAAGCCCTTGCAAAAAGGGAAACATCTTTTGATTGTGGCCTTTCAGAAACAGCATCATTATCCTGGGTCAAGATAATTTTCATTTGCTTTTTCTGAGGGGCTAGAAGGTTCAGAATTCAGAAGTCTCATCTTAACTATTAACTGACTTTGGATTCATATCTAAATTCATGGTCTCTGAATTTGCAATGTTATAGGCTGTATTAGCAATAACACATTTGCCTCCAAATAGTTTTTTGAGATAATACTGTTTTAAAACATCTTTGAAGTTTTGTTGTCTTGCAAAAAGTCCATCAGCTGTTGCTTCATGTTTATACCTGCACTGTATCCTCCCAAATGGTTCACTCTATTGTGCTCTTGCAGTATTCACTAGTCTGTTTTCATGGTAACTTTTAACAAACATTTCCAAGAGGAATACATCACTCCAGGTTTGCCTTCATAGGGAGAACCTTTCTCCCCTAAATTGGAGTAAGTGCCACTAAATATTTTGTTTGACTTTTAGACTTAGGGTCCTTGTTTAGAACCATCATACAATTTGGAGTTATGTTACTTCTGATGTGTACATAATTGTTTTGTATTTTGTTGACTGTTGAGGGTTTATTATTATTATTAAATGACCACTCAATAAGGTGATGCTGGCTTGATGCTTCAATAATCTGTTTCTCCCTGGTAACTGTCCTTATTTCTCAAATGTCACCTTAAGTGGTTTCCACTTGCAACACACTTTCCTTCCAATGTGGGGCATGACGACCTTCCCAGTACTGAGGGACTAAACCAGTAATCTTTTTTTTCCCCCTAGAGTGAGCATTGGTGGTTGTGTCATTCAGGAAGTTCATTTTATTTAAATAGTCAAACTATTCTTATTTTAGTACCTGTAGAGTCTTTACTGATGCCACCTCTCTTATTCTTGTTAATCTTAAAAATAAAACTGCCAGTTATTTTACCAGCAAAAAATGGGTTTATTTGGGAATAGCTGAGATTTGCAAGCAAGTTTTAGCAAAACCATAGGCAAGTCCAGAAAACAAAGGTGAGGAATGCTCGTTTATAGAGGGAAAAGGAAGTTGAGAAGTCCACTGGAGTAACTAGGAGTTGTAACTATAGTGCTTTCTCATTGGCTGGGTTATTGCTGGAGGAGGAAGAAATCTTCCTTCCTCCTGCTGGGATAAAAAGATAACTCCTAAAGATCTACATCCACAATGAAAATTAAATTTGTAATTATAAATCTTCCCATAAAATAAAACCTCAGGCCCAATTACTTCACTGGTGATTTCTACAAAATAATGAAACAATACGAATTCTTCACAAACTGTTTCACAAAATTAAAAATCAGGGAATACTTAACCAACTTATTGTGTAAAGCCAGCATTATGGTGATACCAACTAAACCCAGGAGGGGTTTAAGGAAAATTAGAGATTACATCCCTCATGAGCACAGATGCAAAAAAAAAAAAAAAAAAAAAAAAAAAAAGCAAGTAAGTACAGTACATAAAAAAGAATTCAAGATGACCAAATAGGGCTCACCTTAGAAATGTAAGGTTAACATTTTAAAACTAGTCAATGTCATTCATTAAAAGACCAAAAATGTAAAGAAAAAAAAAAACCCTATGATTGTGGTAACCACTATCCAAGATTCTCTTAGAAATCCCTACCTTCTAAAAATAAATAAATAAATAAATCCCTACCTTCTTGTATTGTCAGTTGTGGAGTCCTCTTCCACTTTATACTGGGATTAGTCTGTACTACTCACAGGATAAGTCAGGAATGTTAACACATCACTTCCAGGAAAAGTTTTTAACAGACACCGTGGCTTTGTTTTTTTGTGAGCTCTCTATTGGATCACTTGATTTAGAACTCTTTCTCTAGGGATCCCTGGGTGGCGCAGCGGTTTGGTGCCTGCCTTTGGCCCAGGGCGCAATCCTGGAGACCCGGGATCAAATCCCACGTCGGGCTCCCGGTGCATGGAGCCTGCCTCTCCCTCTGTCTATGTCTCTGCCTCTCTCTCTCTCTCTCTGTGTGTGTGTGACTATCATTAAAAAAAAAAAAAAAGAACTCTTTCTCTAAAATGGAACTTTCAGCAAAAGTATGAATGCAAAGGAATGAACTACTGATGCATGTAAAACTGATGAATCACAAGGCAATTATGCAGTTAAAACCAGATATGTAACAGTATATATTAAAGTGTTACTTGTGTACATAAATCCTTCCATATACATAAAATACTGGGAAATGCAACAAAAATCTAGTTAAAAAGCAAGATGAGTGGCTGCCTGGGAATAGGTAAGGGGAGGAGGGATTATAAGGCAATTCAGAAAACTTGGCTTCACAGATACAAACATGTATCAAAACTTATCAAACTGTATACTATAAATATGTGCAGTTTATTGCAGAAAATGTTTAAATTGCTAGGACAGTGACTGTAGCCATAAAAGAGACACAAATACGGGAATCCTGAGAATTTCTGTAAACCTGCATACCAAAGCCATAGTGATAGAAACATATGTGCATTTACCTTTATAAAAGTCACATTCTCTACAGTATGTTCCCAACTCCCAATTCATCAGTATCTCTGTGCCTATTATGATTCCTAACTATCTTTTTAGGGGACAGTGATGTCTGCCTACTAAATAATAGATTTCAGGGGCATTGGCAAGTCCTGGGGGCAGGATGTGTGTGTCAAGTTCCCATCAAGAGAATATGGGAATATGAAACATCCCTCTGGAACAAGGGAACCAATTCATACCACTCCCAGATACACCAGAGGTTGTCACAACTGCCCACTGCTCAGGGTGACCTTGATCACACAAAAAACCTTGGCATACAGGCCAAAAGATTAGGCCCGGCAATCTGGGCCTAATTCATAGGAGTCCTTGAGCAGTAATGCAAGTTAGACTAAAATGAGAGTTGTTCCTTGCCATTCTGCTAATACCACAGAGAAACATTTGAACTCTCACAAAAGTTGTCTCTTTCTTCATGCTGGCAGCACCCAACTCTGTTCTCAATACAACCCACAGAGCGAACAGAATCCTCCAAACTAAAGGTAGTTTAAAACTAAGGCATTTGTTGCAAAAACAGAAAAAGATGATATGGCAATTTCCAAGGTAGGGGACTTGGAGGCTGGACGAATCCATCATGAGCGCAAAATGAGACCAACAAAGTCCATGAAAAATGGAAATCTTCTCTATAAGTAACCAGCAGAAAGAAAAAAAATTGCAACCTTCTAACCAAAACTGGGTCATGTCCATGCTTAAACCAGTTGGAGGAGAAGGCAGGAAGGAGTGAGGATTTTTAATGGGCTCTAGGTACTGATGATTCCCTCTAGGGAAGGGAGGAGAAGCAGAGGTCTGGCTATTAGAACATGTTGGGATGACTTATGCACAATGTGGGACTCTGCCATTCCATACATAGCTTGTTTTTTTTTTTTTTGTTTTTTTTTTTGTTTGTTTGTTTTTTCAGAGACACTGGCAGTGACAGAATTCTGGCAAGGCTCCTGGTGAGGTTACAAAGTGCAACACTGCACCAGAAAGATTCCCACATAGCTGGCATTCAGGAGTCTCAACAGAGTGGATGTTTAAATGCAGGAGGTTCAACTTCTGGTTTGATGGCTACTCACAAAGGCTAATCTCACAGCTTCTCTCTGTCAGTCACTATGTTGAACAAGGAAATATGGTATATTCCCGGCCATCCTAAGGCCTTCCTCCAGTGTGAACTTTCCAATGCCGGATGAGAGAAGCTCTTTGCCTGAAGGCCTTCCCACACTCACTGCACTTATATGGCCTTTCTCCAGTGTGAATTCTATGATGCTGAACAAGTACATGTTTGTGGCTAAAGGCTTTTCCACAGTCGTTGCACACATAAGGCTTTTCACCATTGTGAACTCTCTGGTGTGCAATAAGGTCAGAACTCTGGCTAAAGAACTTCCCACATGCAATGCACTCATAAGGCCTTGCCCCAGTATGAACACTCCAGTGTTTAATGAGTCTGTATTTGTGACCAAAGTATTTCCCACATTCACTGCATTCATAAGGCCTTTCTCCAGTGTGGATACTCTCATGCTGAACAAGTGTGGATTTGTGGCTATAGGCTTTCCCACATTCACTGCACTTGTAAGGCCTTGCTCCAGTGTGGACTCTCTGGTGTACAATAAGGTTGGAACTATGATTGAAAACTTTCCCACATATGCCACATTCATATGGCATTTCTCCAGTGTGGATTCTCTGGTGCTGAGCAAGTATAGGTTTGCGGCTGAAGGTTTTCCCACATTCGCTGCACTCATAAGGCCTTTCTCCAGTGTGGACTCTCTGATGCTGGACAAGTGAGTCTTTGCGGCTGAAGGTTTTCCCACATTCGCTGCACTCATAATGCCTCTGTCCACTGTGAAAGGTATCCACACATTTGGCATTACTGTTTGGCTTCCACTTACTATGAGAGGGATGGTGCTGGAAAATGTTTGAGCTAGTTGGCAAGTCCTTATAACCTTTCCCTGGCATAAAAGGCATCTCCAATGGTTTGACAGGGCAGCTGTTCACAAGTAAGGTGCTGCCCTTAACTCCTCTGAAGGGTTCCTCTCCACTGTGCTGCTTCTGGTAGTGAAGGTTTGCATTGAACCAGAATTGTTTCCCACATGCCCCACACATGTATGATTTCTGACCAGGGTGTGCTCTCTGGTGCTCAGCCAAGTACAAAATGTCTTTCAAGACCAGGCCACAGGTCTCACAGGGGTGGGCCTTCTGGGTAGCAGGACCTGTCTTGGGAGTCTTGACCTGTGACATTCCCACAGAAATGTTCTGCTTAAAAGCTATCTCCTCACCCTCTGTTCCATGCCAACAACCTGAAAGCAGACAAATGCTGGTGAAGTACAAATTGACACTGATGGAAGGGGTAGCCTCATTATAAATGTGTGTCTAACAGAAATAAGATCTAGGTCATAGGACTGCTGTCAGAACAAGAGGCCCAAATTCAAGTTGAGTAAAGGGCTGCTATGCAGTAGTTGACATCTAAAGATCATAGAATGCAAGAGTCCTTAAAAAAATTAAAAAATAAAGGAACGGAAGAGGCTTTGACTAGGAGAGGACACAAATGTGAGGTACAGCCCAGAAAGAATATTTCAGGATGTCAGTGAGGCTTTTGCTGCTGGGGACAGGTGAGAGCTGTGTCTACTGAATAGCTACCACTGAACAGTTGGTATTTAAGAACTATTTGGAGTATGTGCACATCTCACAACACACTAAGTATAGGCCAATGTTGAGGAGCACTGCAGAAGGAGCAATGGAGAGGAACAGGTCAGATATGGAGACAGAGGTGGGGAACATTCAGAGGCCAAAGGTCAGAGCATAAATGACAAGTGTGTACATGGCAAAGTAAAGTGTGGGGAGAGAGATTAGGGAATGACAGGAACCCAGCCCCAACATCACATCCTTCCCCATTCCCATTCCCCAGGTCACACCCACCCTGAGTGTCTCTGGTCCTGGCTGGAGTAACAACTGCCCAGTCAGATCCCCAGGGCTTGCTGCCCAGCTCCAGTGAAGCAAATCCATGGGACATGGAAGTTTCATATCCTAAAGACAGGTAAATGGCCAGCACTAGCCTGGGTAACCCACCCCTCAGAGAAGAAAACTATGTATTATAAAAATAACCTCAAAGAAGGGTCTTGGACGAATAGTTCATGGTCTCAACAAGTAGTAACCAAAATGGTCCCTGCAATTCCTGACCCATGCAGGCCACTAGAAACATCAGCTAGAGGAGGGGGCACAAAGTAGGGCACAGAGGTACATGGATCTGAACAGAGGCTTCCAGTCTGGGAGAAGACAAGCTCTGATTCAGGAAGGGCTGGATTGCCCTTGGGAAATAGGGGAGAGGAAGAGCCCAGTACAGGACCCTGGGGTGGGTGTGAGGCCTTACCCAAAGAGGCCATAAGGGCCAAGTTCTCCAGCATCACATCACGGTACAGGAGCCTCTGAGCCTCATCAAGGAGCCCCCACTCCTCCGGGGAGAAGTATACAGCCACGTCCTCAAAGTTCACCTGCCCCTGTCACAATGGAGAGATCCGAGTCCATGAGAAGCCTCTCTCCCAAGGACACCCATCCAGGCCTCCACAGATCTCCCCCCTGCATTCCTTCCTACCTAATTTCTCAATTCAGAGGAAATACAGAGACTAGGTGCCAAAGGTGTCTGCTCTCTCCTAATCGTCCCTTTGATTACTGTGCCCACTAACAGCAACAACAGGCAGGTGGTGGTCAGAGAGGCACCATCTAAGCTCTGGGCCTGGCCTGCAGGGCTGCACTGTACCCCGCTTCCACCCCCTCCTGCCAGCCAGTTCTCCTGGGGTTGCTAAGATCATGCTACCAGACAACCAAAGTTGGGTTCATCTTTCTCCTTTAAGTCCCTGATACCAGGACCCAGAAGCCATCAGTCCACGCTACTTTCCACGTACACAGTATTCTTTTGGATCATACTGTGTCTCACAACTCTGGTCCCCAACGCAGTCCTTGGCCTTCCACCATCACCTTCCTAACTCAGTAACTGCACTGTCATTGTGATGTGTATATTCTTCCTCCTAATCCAACCTGAACACCATTTTCTACTTTGTGGTTGTCGTCACCATGAACCCCTCCACAGAAGTCCAGTCCTGTGTCCAGCAGCTCACTTATCACCTCCATTCACTGTTCTCTGGAACAACTTAGACATGAGCAACAAATAAAATCCTGTTATCCAACCTGAGTTACATCTACCACTGACTTCTCTGTCTCAGGTGATGGAGCATCTACCCTTCCAGCTGATAAGGGCTAAAACCTCAGGTTTTTCTCTCTCACACACATTTAAAAGAAGAAAAAAAAATCTGACCTAACACTTCTCCATTCTACACATCTCCCCTCTGGCCCATCCATCACTATGAGTCACCTGGAATCTTGAAGCAGCCTCCTCCTGGTCTCCTTGTCTATACTATTATTCCCTTTACCCTCCCCATACACAGTCCATTCTCCACGTGGCATCCAGAAGGGGCCTGTTAAAACCTGAATCAGATCACCTCCCTCCTCTGCTTGGTACCCACATGGCTACACAATCCTCAGAACAGAGACACAGCTTGTCAGCTGTCCACTCCAGACCTGACTCCTGTCCACCTGTTCCTGATTCCTATCACACATGGGGGAGAACTGTTGTTTCTTGAAAACTTCCATCTCAGTCTCTCCTCCAAGTATTTGCACATGTTGGTTCCTGTACCTGGAAAAACTGTCCACATCATACTCCAGCAGTTACCTAAAACGGGAATCCTTCCATATAACCCCTGGCCTGAACTCAAAACCCTGGGCTGAGGCTCTCTCCAGGTTCCTCAGAATCAAGAGCTGGGAGAGTATACGTAGAGTGTTGTATGATCCCACAATCCTGGAGACCATTGCGGGTGAGGGTAGGAGTGGGATGGATGAGAGCACAGGTGCCCTTCCCTCACCTGTGCGGGGCCCATAATTACTTCCGAGTTCTTCCGAACCTGTAAGAAGAGGAAGACTGTGAGAGACAAGCAACCACGAAGGAGCTCATGCCTATCCCCTACTCCTGCCCGGCCACAAAGACCCGGGGCTGACTGCCTCACCTCTGTGCCTGGGTCTCTAGGGCCACCTAACAGCTGTGTTACCTTGGACTAGGGCTTTCTGTGCTTCACCGTCTTCATCATCTAACCTCCACCCCAAGTTTGTTCCAGAAGCAGTCCCTCTTCTGTTAGCTGCCGGCATGCGCACCACGAAGGCACAACTGCTCAGGCTGACACTGCAGGTGTGACTCCTCTTCACACATCCTCTGACCCTTTCACACACCTATGACTCCGGAGTTCCCAAATGCTCGGTCAGTGTCGCCCTCCCTCCGCCCCCAGCCTTTGCATACGCCCGTCCCTCCGCCTGCGACGTCCTTCCACACCCCACCACAACGGCTGTCAGATATGGGACCCAATAGGAGCGTCCTGCTGCCTGGACACAGAAGCCCGAGCTGTGGGGGCCTGAGGCGGCCCTCATTCGAGACTCTGTGTTCAGAAACGGAGGCCGCGGGGGGACTCGAGGGCGCGGCACCCACCTGCGCCAGGTCTTTCAGAGTCGCCGCCGCCACCGGAACCTGCGGACGGGGAAGGCGCGCTGATGGGAAGGGGTCATTAACGGCCAGTGGGCCCGCCTGTGTTTAGAAGACAACGCCCCCTCTCGCGTTTGCTCTCTCCTGTCACTCAGGCCTGACACTGTGATCTGAAGTCTGACCTGGCGGGTTAATCCCAAAGCAAACAAAATGTCCGCTCCAGAAGGGAACGGAAATCCCTCCCTGACGTCTCCCGCACCAACGGAAACGCCCCTCTCTCGGGCCTTCATTAACCCAGCATCGCGGAGAATCCTGGGTAATGTAGTTTCCTCAGCAACCACGTTTGGAGAAGGCTCTCTGAGCCACCGCCGGAGGATAGGCCCCCGAGTTAACTGGCGGCGCCTAGAAATTGCGTCTTGAGGATTAGGCGGAGCTTCCCTTTCCCTTAAATCATCTGTTCTCGTATTTCCGACAAGTGTAGTCTGTACCACGTTACAGAAATGTTTAGAGATATTATTTCAGTACTCTTTACGCCGAGAATGCTCACCAAAAATTCGATAGACGCACCATATGCTTATGTCACTCAGATTTTTATAGCTGGAAGCTAATAAATATTGCTATCAAATAAACTTGTAGCCCGCAGTTCTAGAGTTAGTTTTGTGAGACTCAGCATTGAGGGTCAGGACCAAGAAAGAAAAGATGACAGACACCTAGAAGATGTGGAACATGGAGACGGATGTTAAGCACTGCTAAAGCACGTGGGCAATGTTTGTGTCTGTGGTTACCTCAGAAATCATTCCTCCTGCCAGTATAATAAGTGATTGTGTAGAACACAGTGGTAATACTTTCTTACAAGATCATATTTCATACTCTCTATACAGCGATGTATTCAATTCCTTATATTCCTTATATTCCTTGTGTGTTACAAATGTCTGAGAGAAAGGCGATTTACCAAATGTCATTTGGGAGTCAGGAGGACAATAAAAACAGTCTCTATATAGAAGAAATAGACACGAATTTCATTTTCTATGCATAGTGAAAATGTCTCTTAAGAAAGTGTGACATAAGACTATTTGAAGCCCAAAATTATTAATTTAATGAAAAACAAGCCCATAGAAAATAAAATTCTAAACAAAATATTCAAGTCCAAAGAAGTCTGATCCCAGATGAAAAGTTGCAATGAGAGAAGGAATGAAGATTGAGAGAGAGGTACAGCTTTTGATTAAAATAAAATAAATAGAGACTCCTGGATGGCTCAGTGGTTGAGCGTCTGCCTTTGGTTCAGGTCGTGATCCCAGGTCCTGGGATGGAGTCCTACATCCGGCTCCCTACAGGGAGGCTGCTTCTCCCTCTGTGTGTGTCTCTGCCTCTCTCTGTGTCTCTCATGAATAAATAAATAAAATCTTAAACAAATAAAATAAATGTTCAGTATCTATATAATATATGACTATATCTCTCTATGGAATTAAAATGATGGAATTGATATGCCAATGTTGGGGTTTGGAGTGAAAGGTCAAAAAAAAATTATTGAGACATTGCCAGTGCAAAAATGTGATTAAAATTAAAGCATGGTGGCAGAAGCTGTGGGCAGAAAGAGTTACACTGGGGTTGTGAGGAGTGACTGAAAGCCTAAGTCCTTAAGGAAATTGGAAGGAAGATTTCCAGGATCTTGAGGGACTAGCCCCTTGATGGGCTAGCTGTTGTTAGGAAAAGGTTGTTTAGTACCACATAGTAAAATCTTAGTCATGAGACCCTTTAAATGTATATCAGTGGGCCATATGCTTGGAGGATGAGTGCTAACATATATCTTGGTGGGGTAGAAATAGAGGAAGTTTCCAAAGGAATTTTTTTTCCAAAGGAATTTTTATATGTTTTTACCTTCAAGTAAATTCTACCTCTAGGAGTGGGGCTCAAACTCACAACCCCGAAGTCAAGAGTCACACATTCTACTGACTGAAGTAGCCAGGCATCCCTAGTATTTTTGTATGTTAAAGGAGACTTACAGGATCTTGGAGGTTGAGATAATATTAAGTTAAGATTGTCTTTTGCCCTTAGCAAAGTATTAACATTGAGGCAGTTGAGTTCCTAGAGGAAGGTTACTGCCTGTCCCAAGGACTTGTCAATGAGCTTTAAGTTGTAGGGAAAGTTTTCTTTTTCTTTTTCCTTTGTTCTCTCCATCAGAATTCCCAAGCATTTTGTCAGACAACATCCATTGAGAGAAGGCTAGTTGCTTAATGTTCTAAATCCCTTATATTTTGAAATGGGAAGTAAATGTATTTAGAACTCTGTTAACTTTAAAAATAGAAGCTGCCAGATATTTTACCAGCAAAAAATAGGTTTATTTGAGAAAAGAGAATTGCAATTCAGAACAAACACGCTACAGCAAAACCATAGGTAAGTCTGGGGAACAAAGGAGAGGCACAATTCTCTATTTTTAAAATATTTTATTTATTTATTCATGAGACACACACACAGAGAGGCAGAGACACAAGCATAGGGAGAAGCAGAATCCCCGTGGGGAGCCTGACATGGGACTGGATCCCAGGACCCTGGGATCACAACCTGAACTGGAGGCAGACGCTCAACCACTGAGCCACCCAGGCATCCCGAGGCACAATTCTTTAAGGAGAAAAGGGGGAAGTTGGGAAGGCTGTTATGAACTACAAGTCCATTGTAGTAAACTGGGAGTTCAAAACATGGTGGCTTTGCATTGGTGGACCTGTTGCCTGGAGAGAGGGTGTGAGGAAAGCGTTTCTTCCTGTGTCCGGAGTAGTAGAGTAGTATCAATATGCAAGATCTTGTCCAGGTAAGGTCAAGTCCAACTCTTCCTGTTGGGTCTGCAATTGACTGCAATTGGAAGGGAATGAGCACTTCTCCTGCAGAAACCTCCTAATTCCATTTTAGTGAGACTTCTCATTACTAATTTTCACAACTTGAATGTATTAAATACATGTTTGTGATTTTAGTTTAAATATAATAAATAGAATCAGAGTGTATACTCTTCAGACTAGAAGAGGACAAATTTGGAATACAACTTGTTGACCAAGAAAGAATTCACTGAAGGGCAGCCCTGATGGCACAGCGGTTTAGCGCTGCCTGCAGCCTGGGGTATGATCCTGGAGACCTGGGATTGAGTCCCAAATCAGGCTTCCTGCATGGAGCCTGCTTCTCTCTCTCTCTCTCTCTCTTTCTCTCTCTGAATAAATAATCTTAAAAAAAAGAAAGAATTCACTGAAAATTAAAGCAAACAGACTCTTACGTGGGCAATTAGAATTGCAATTCAGGAGACACAGATTCAGGTAGAAACCTGGATAGTGTTCTGAGGAAGACAAGGAAGGGGGCAGAGTTATAAAGATAAAAGTTCAAGAGTGCAGTTCCCATTTTTCTGTTGCATACTCGATGTCTCAGTGATTGGCTTTGCTGTGCATCAGGTAGACAGACTTGGGCCAGGTTACACCCTGAAGTCCTGCACAGTCAACATGAAGTAGACTGGGATATGTAGCTTATGCTCTCTGCTATATGGCTTCCCTTCAGGTGAGTGGAGGCCTCTTTCTTCTTTTTGAAGTAAACAAAATACTAACAGCTTTCCAGAATGGAACAGTAGATTTCACCCAGGAGTAGCAGTAGTTGAGTCCTACTGACTATATCCCAGAGTCTGCTAAAATTATTCAAAGTATCTAAGCTTTGTTCAATGTACCTACCTGTCTTGCTTGTGTCTTCCCATGGGAACCCCAATAAAGACTATGGAACATGTCAGGTTGTTTCAGCCTGTTGAGATCATCCATTTGTTTATTATTGTGACATAATTAAACTATCTAAATAGCTTTTCCTCTTTCTTTTTTAAAAAACTGTCATACATTCAGTTGAGTGTTAATAAGATGTACAAATCATGTTTTTTCTTTAATAAAGTCCACTCCTAGGGATGCCTGGGTAGCTCAATGGTTGAGTGTCTGCCTTTGGCTCAGAGCCTGATCCCAGGGTCCTGGGATTGAGTCCTGCATTGTGATTCCCATGGGGGAGCCTGCTTCCTCTGCCTATGTCTCTGCCTCTGTCTCTCTCATAAATAAATAAATTAAATTAAAAAAAATAATGACCATACCTATAAAACTATCACCCAGTGTAAAACAGAACTCTGGTCCGTAGAGTTCACCTGATATTTTGATAATCATACTCTTAATGTCTTTACAGTTTTACCACTTATGTATATTTCCTTAAATGGTAGTCTATAGTCACATGATACATTGTGGCCTAATCTAAATAACTAATGCCACTTGGGTCTCTATCATTTCATGTTCTCAACTCCAATACTGATGTACCACCTCCTTTCCAGAATCAGCTAGTACTTAATAACTACTTCCAGAAAAAACCCAGGAAGGAGTGAATGCTTCATCATCTTTTATTCTCATGAGTTGTTCAAAAGCAGTGGTGGATTTAGTCATTACTCAGCCTACAGATAAAAAGGACAGAAGAATTGGGGAACCAGAAGACTGACACGAAAGAAATGAAGCCAGTGGTAAGGGAGGTACTGGAAGAAAACATACTAAAGTGGTGGCATTTCTTTTACCAATGCTTCCTGGTGTCAACAGTCCAGCATCCTTCCTACCTGCAGGGAGTTTGCTTTGTATATGGGAATGAAAGGGCAGTGGGAATACTAAGTAGAAAGGGATGACAGGGAGAAATCTAGGAGTGAGAGGCATGTTGGCTTATATTTGAGGCTCACTGTCCTACTTGAACACCAGTGCTGGGCCCTTAAAAGGGAAAGGGCACAGATATGTGGGATGAGGGAGAAAGGTGAACAGTTGGGATCCCTATCTCCCCACCGACATTCAGAACTGCATCATTTTCCCTCACATATCAGACACTGATTCACCACTGCTGTCTGATATTTGGCATCCCCATAGCAAGGGAAATTTGGTAACGGACAATTGGTTCAATCCAAGGAAACCGCTTTATCGTGGCTCTCAAGACTTTTGAAGTCCTTTGACAGAAGGAAAGACTGTAGTACCAGCTGCGTAGGAAAACTGAAATCCAGGCCCATCTGCATTTAGGATGGTCTCTGGAGGAGAGCCTCGTACAGTTTCTGAGCCAGACTTCTCTTGCCTGCCATCTATGCCTGTGGGCCCACTTGCTCCACGCGGGGCGCGGTGGGAACTACATTACCCGAAAGACGCTGCGCCCCGCGCCGCCCGCGCTCTGCAAATGAAAGCGAACATTTCTAGCGTGCGGAACG